ACACAAACTGCTTTTTACTACTGGCCTCTTTCAGCCATTCACACTAGCTGGTTTTTTCCATTCCTAAGCAATTTAACACAGATGCATAATGTCAGCGTGTTACTGAGCATAGAACAAATTCTCACCTCAGACACTTTGTCAGTATCGGATATTTCCCTGTTTTTTCACCCCTTTATTGTTTTCTAACCATTGGTGAGGCGACTCTCAGTGTTAGTAGGTTTAATCTGCTATGACTGAAGTAAAAGAGTGGAAACTGAAGAGCTGTGGATAAACTGTGGTCCTGAAAAACCTGCACTTCTACATGTTTAACCAGTTAAATAACTGGAGTTCTGATCTCGAGGCTTCGGGTGTTCCCTGTGTCTTTCTCGGGAAAGACACTTTATTTCCTGATGAGATGCTGTGATTAGGCACGAGGTGTTTTGAAACCGACAGTTTCAGTGTGGTAATTTGTTTCCACTGACGAGGCTGAAGGGTCTTTGGGAATGCAAGACTAATGCGTGACTCTGTAAGAGCAGCCCGAGGACCTCCAGTCACACATTTTCACACAGTGTGGGGCAGGCAGGGCCCTCTGAGCAAACACTGTGGATTCTTGGAGTGTTTTCCTTCAAGTGTCCTCTGGCTCTCTGAAAAAGTGCTTGTAAATCTCCCCCCGGCTTCATTCCTCACTCTGTCCCATCTATCTGCTTTTCCTCTCCCCCTCGATCTCTTTCAGCCGCTTTTTGACTCCCTTTTCGCTCTGATTTCTCCTCACAGATCTCCAGTGTTTTGATGTCACATTCCTGAAGTTTCTGAGGAACTTGGAGGACCGACCGGGCAGCAGACGGCGAGGCAGCCAGAGATCCCACTCTTGATCCCCTGCGTGCTCTTTGCCTGAGCCGGGATAAAGACGAGAGTTTGAGGAGACGAGGGCTCGGCATTCGCTTTGATATGGATTTTCTGCGTAGGAGGGGAAGACAGAGGGAGCTGATCTGAGATCAAGACCTTTCTCCTCTCCCTTCCTGAGTCACATGTCAGTGTGAGGCTCAACCGCCGGGTTGCTATCGCTACTCTGACCGACCTAAATACTTGTTTACTCGCTTGGAGAAGCAGAACAGACTGAATATCTGAGCTGAGAGTGGGGAAAAACAGCCAAGAGAGCTTCTTATCAACTCAGCACTGTTTGCTTCCCGCTGAATTTCTCCTGCTGGAGCTCAAACGGCCCGAGGAACCCAACCGCCACATCAAGATGCCTGCAAAGACGCCCATGTACCTAAAAACAACGACTCCCAAGAAGGGAAAGAAGCTGAAGCTCCGGGACGTCCTCTCAGGTGATATGATCAGCCCCCCGCTGGGCGACGTGCGTCACAGCGCACACGTAGGGCCCGAAGGCGAGGGCGACATGTTTGGAGACGTGGGCTTCCTCCAGGGTAAGATGGACATGCTGCCACCCACGAGCCGGACGCAGAACGGCCACGCCCGCTCGCACAGCATGGAGAGAGACTTGGGAGAGGGCCTCACCGCGAAAGATGACGTGCACAGCTACGCCTTTAACGGCTTCCATTACCAGCACTCGTCCAGCGGCCTGCTGAAGAACACCATCTCCATGCCTGTGTTCATCGCTCACGAACAGGCTCCACCCAAACCGCCGCGCCTCCATCTGGATGGTCCCTCCCACCACCATCAGCAGCCTCCTGCGGCTAGCCCCAAACAGAACAATGGCTGCAGCCAGAGAGACGGTCAGCGCCAGCAGCACCCGACTGTGTCGCTCTGTGAGAACGGCGTGGTGGGTCGCTTGGCGTCCGAGCCTTGCCGTGACATCTCCCTCTCCCCAGCCATCCGCAGACTCGTCCCCTCCTCCGGCTCCCTCTCTGAGGGCTCCTCCGAGGACTCCATGTCAGAGATCTGCGGGCCACAGGACGTTCGCCGGGGCCTCAGCCTGGACTCCGACACCTACCTGAGCAACGAGGATCTTCGGAGCGAACGCAGCGAGTCGCCCTGCACCGTCTTCCACCATGCCGGCCTCACAAAGCCCTCTGGTGTGTCGCGCTCTGACTCCATTGCGGGGTTGAACCTGGATCTGGGCCCATCCATCCTGGAGGATGTGTTGAGCATCATGGACCGCTACAAAGCTGAGGACAACCACTGCGAGCTGTGATTGAGATTAATGAGACAAAAAGATATATTTATACATGGTTTAATATATCCTTTAAAACTCTGAACAGACTGATGGAGACAAAAGATGGAGGGACTGACGGAGGAGGGAGGAGAACTTTTTTTTTTTTCACCAACTCCTGAGAGCCGAGTCTGAAGGTGATAAAAGACTTCAAGAAGCTTGAAATGCAGGACGTTGCTGCTCGAGCCTTCAAAGCTGAACCTCATGCACATAGACATTTAAACTATAACACGGGGTTGCCAACGGTTACATGCACACCATCATTCTCACGGTGTCCAAACAAACCTGCAGACCCTCCTTTATTTAAAACAAATACACCCATTTGCATCTATTTTTGGGCAGGTGTTTTCTGCCCATTTTAGAACCAAAACAGGTCCATAAGCATCCTGTTGCTTTCAGCTGATGGGGGAAGTCTTTCCTGTGAGTGTATTAAATACCTGCAGCTTCACAAGGATACATGTGGGAGTCCCCACAGTGAAACAGCTGCACATATTTAACCAAACAGTCCAACAGAGCTAACTGTATTAGTTATTTAGAACTATTAATTAACCCTGCAACAAAGCTTTTCAAAAAAACTTTTCAACTTACAGTGTTTATGGATGTTTACCGTAACAGCAGGCTGTATAGGAGGACGACATCTTTAATCATTAATTTAACCAATAAAATAAGCCAAGAGGCGTTTAGAATTTTTACCAGCAAAACAAATTTGGCAGATTTATCCTGAAAATTACCTAAAATACATCGCTGCTCCTCTTTCTGGGTTATTTAAAGCGAGGAGGCATCCAAAAATGACACAAAAAAGATTATCGTCTTTTAAAACTGTCCCACATTCTGAGACAGCTTCCCACATTTTTAATGGACCTAGTATAGAAAAGTAAAACAGCTGCGCTGATCCACAAGTACATCCCAGCTGAGAGCGTGGGATAGAGAAGTGTGCAAAACGAACAAGTTATCAGAGGAAATGCAGGCTGTCCTTCACCTGTGACATGCATCATTTTTGTGTGTTTAATTGTCCCACATAAACATCGCTGCCCTCATCTCACCCCAACTGAGAGCAGAAAGTTGGCAGCCCTGCTCCAAGTTAACCAGCACAGTTGCAGTAACATCACCACTGCTCCCTTTAATCTGTATCGCCTGTTAATCTGACTCTCACTGAGGATTTCCTGCTCACTTCTCTGCAGAGTCAAATATATTTGTCTCCAGATCGGCCTGGGAAAACAGGAGGAATCTCCAGCTGCACAGCTATTAATTCTTTCAGGATAAATGTGTATTTATGCAGCAGAGTTAACATTGCATACATAGACTAAGCTACAAACTGCTAATACTACTAGTTTAATGCTGCAGGTTAAATTCTTCATCTTTGCTTTCTAAGGTGTGATTTGGGGATGAAATGTTGACATCTCCACTCTTTTACATCAACTCTGCTGCTGCTGACTTTACTGTCATCCTCTAATATGATTGTATCCCATTTAATCAACATTTCACTGGCAGGTTTAACCTTGTGTTTTTTTTTTTTTTGTTTTGTTTTTAATATATCATCAGAGAGAAGCTGGGTATGCTTAATGTTGGTGTTGTTTAAAAGCTTTAAGGGTAAGAATAAGAAAAGGTGCTGCTTTGAGTTTTGAGATATGTCTTTATACATGCTGTGGCTCACTCTCTGCCTCCCTGACGTTCACTGTCTGCATGTTCACAGTAGCCTATTATTCAAATGTCATCTATGATGTATAATTAATCTGTAAATGTACGAATAAAATGTTTCCTACTGCAAAAACTTTGCGGTTGCTTCTTTGCAGACACACACTTTACAGACATTAACACTAGTAGGCATACTTTATGGGTGTTTTTCACATGCAGCGATGAGGTGAATAAAGATTTCCAAACCTGAACCACAGTGATGTAACTACAAAAAAAATACAAAAAGATTCATTTTTAATAGTTTTCAGATTAAATTTCAAACCACTAAAAACTAGTTTTCAATTCAGCGCAGGTGCAGTAAAAGTGTAAATCTGTATAATAAATGTTAATATGTGTGAAACTGAAGAACATGGAAAGCAAACAACAACAAAGGACTGTAATTTTGTTGACTGGCTATTTAAAATTATTTATTAATATATTCTGAGAATTCAGATTGCTTTGTTTTGGTAGCGGATGAAAAACTCATCCCAATAGGAGTATTTTGAAAGGACTGTAGTGATTCTAGTGTGCACAAGGGCGATTTTATTGCCATGTGCTGCCCCCGTGTGGTCATTCTTTGGAATGGCAACTCTTTAAAATGACTAAAATCTCATTAATGCAGCTGACTTAGAACTACTTCCGGAAAAGCCTGTGAAAATAAAGTTATATAATAGGGTATTCCAAATAACACAAAATATAATGAAATTACCCAACACATGCATGCCTTTGCTGTAGACGCTGAAGCCCAAATAATGAACGAAAGCATGGAGAAAGCACAGCTGTGAATTACAACTATAACGTAACAAGCAAGACGACCGAAAAGTCACATTTACAGCTACACAGTAAGATGTAACAGCTGTTTGTGTCGATGTTTGGCAACACAGTATACCATTTATGTTAGCGTTTCTTTTTCAAACTATTCACCGGAAATGAAATTGTTATGACTCGCATGTGGTCAAAGTTAGCGTCGATAGCAGCAGGCTAACACTTCCAGTTGAAGTAGTCGTAGTCAAATCTAAATGTAAATACATAAATAAAATAAATAAAAGGCGATAATAACTATAAACTGATTAAATAACGGGTTTTAAATGTAACTTCGAAGCATTACAGAGCAGTATTTAGTTTTCCTTTTGGCCTGCAGGGGGCGGTAATCCGTCTGATAGCGTTCAAACGATAAACGAAGAAGAATTAAATGCTGTAGCAGGCTGTGGCGTTGCTAATGCGGCGTTTTGTTTTGTGTTTTTGGCGCACATTCAAATTTTAATGACTGTTTTAAAATAACACAAGTTACGTAAAAAGAAGAGGAGCTTCCGCTAAACGTGCTGTGAAGATGAAGTGAGTGTTTTACTGAGTACAAACAGACAACATGGGCTTTCAGTGTTAGCGCGTTTCCAGCAACTGTGACATACCTGAGCCAAGTCCACATAAAATCAGAGTTTTTCAGGCTCTAGTTTATCCAAATCACTGTTTTAACTTTTATTTTAGATGTCTCGCACTCATTCACACATACTTGGCTTAAAGATAGTCCAGAATGAAGCCTGTACAGCTGCTGTGCACTGTTAACATCGTTGCTGTTTCCTTGCAGGCTCAACATTGAGGGTCTGCTGGTGTATTTTCCCTATGACTACATCTACCCCGAGCAGTACTCCTACATGCTGGAGCTGAAGAGGACGCTGGATGCCAAGGTGGGTGGCGTTAGAGGTTAATCTGAAGGTGTGGTTTTCATGCACAGTGCTCCTATCTACACAAATACCCTGGGTTGGATGACACGTGTGAACGAGAGTAATGAACAGTGGAGATGAGGTGGATTGCATGGAGATGAGTGTTTTGTGACAGAATGATATCAGCAAGAGTGAAAGGCATGGTTTACAAGATGGTAGTGAGACTTGGTATGATGTTTGGTTTGAAGACGGTGGCACCGTAAAAAAGACAGGAGGCTGAACTGAGGATGTTGAGATTTTCATTGTGAGTGACCAGGCTGGTTAGATTACAGTTGAATACATCAGAGGGTTGAGATTGTTTGTAGACAAAGTTAGAGAGGCTGGGATGGTTTGGACGTGTGCAGAGGAGGGATGGTGGATATATTGGTCAGAGGGTGTTGAAGATGGAGCTGCCAGGCAGGAGAGAAGAGGAAGGACTCAGAGAAATGGATGTGGTGAAGGAGGACATGTGATATATGAAGCCTGTACAGCTGCTGTTGGGGACAGAGGAGGAAGCGATGCGATAAATTCATTTTGGTCTGAAGAAGATGGAAGACGAGTCATCTTTTTTATCCAGTTGTTATTTCAGTTATTTAGGATGATCATATTTTCTGCTCTTTGCTGTTTCCAGTTAAAGAAAAGTTCACATTTTTCTTCCAGTCATGCATGTATTTTGAAATTTGAGTTACTTTTTTCCTCCTTTTCTTCCTTGGAGGTGAAGAGATGATTCCTAAAGTTAGTGTTTAGTCCAGATTTTACCTTTTGTGTCATCGTGTCGTATTGTGTTGCTCCTTCAGGGAAGTACAGTGTGTCCACTGACACACAAACACACACACGTGTTTAAAAGTGTTTACTTTCAGCTGCTGCTTTCTGTGTTAACCGAACCTGTTCCCGTTCAGGGTCATGGAGTCTTGGAGATGCCATCGGGAACAGGGAAGACCATCTCTCTACTGTCCCTCATTGTGGCCTACCAAAGGGTGAGTTCAGCCTCTCTCATAAACGGTTCATACTATCAGCTGGTGGCAGATTAGCATGTAAATATGTTCTCTCTCTCTCAGGCTTTCCCTCTGGAGGTCACCAAGTTAATTTACTGCTCTAGAACAGTTCCAGAGATCGAGAAGGTGAGTGGACGTCAAATCAGTCGTCAGTGAAGCGTGTTTCTACTGTGTAACTTTCTTTTTGAGTTAAACAAGAAGAAGCTTTCAAAGCCCCGACGTCTCAGACTGTGTTTGATTCTTTCCGATGAGGTTGTGGAGGAGCTGAGGAAGCTGATGGAGTTTTACACTAAAGAAACAGGAGAGAGCAACAACTTCCTGGCTCTTGCTCTTTCCTCCAGGAAGAACCTCTGCATCCACCCTGAGGTATGAACACCTGCATCCCACAAAGCCAGAGGAGCGATTCAGGATTCAGCTTTCTCCTTTCAAAAGTGACCGACACGCTTGTCTTCACACAGGTGAGCTCTCTGCGCTTCGGTAAGGAAGTCGATGGGAAGTGCCACAGTCTGACAGCATCGTACGTCCGCGCACAACATCACAGCAACCCCAACCTGCCCGTCTGTCGCTTCTACGAGGTAAGAACTCACATCAGATGGTGTTTTTCAGCAGAAGCAGAAGTTATTTTTTGTTTTGTTTTTTGTAATGGCTGATGACATGACAGCATCAGGCTTCAACGTAACGGGTGGGGTTTGATCTTTATGGATTAAAAGTTTAAAAACAAGTTCAGGTTTCTATTCTTTAGTAATCTTTTCATTTCTGTGCTGGATGATTACAACGTACTGGCTCGACATGATTAGTTAGGAGCATTTAATCAGCCTGAAAATCTAAATCCAGCCACTACTCGACACCATCAGATATGCAGATTAGAAAAGTGTTTTTGCTTTCTGGCTGTCGCCTACATGAACTCAGGAACTGATAAAGTTTTATGAGTCTCAGATACAAACTGTGTAGGTTTGCAATGCCTGAAAACTGGGAAACAGGAAAACCTGGTTTGTGTTGCAGGAGTTCGATTCAGTCGGCCGACAGGTGCCTCTTCCTGCTGGCATCTACAACCTTGATGACCTCAAGGCCTTTGGCAGGAGGAAGGGCTGGTGTCCTTACTATCTGGCTCGCTATTCAGTGAGTTACTGTGAAAACGCCAAATCCGTGACCATGTAATGTGTATGAACATGAATGAGATTTTGAGTGTTTTATTACATGTAAAATGCTGTTTGCATGCTTTTATAGGAAAAACATTTTTCTCACTGGCTGCTCTAATTGGAAAATAAATGATAACACGCCAGCTTCTCATTACTGAATAATCCAGAGTTTAATGTTGTATCTTGAAGCTTGTTTCCTCTTGATTTCTCTCAGATCCTGCATGCCAACATTGTGGTGTACAGCTACCACTACCTGCTGGACCCCAAGATAGCTGATCTGGTGTCTAAAGAGCTGGCAAAGAAATCTGTAGTGGTATTTGATGAGGCTCATAATATCGGTGAGCAATTAATCTGAGTCTAATATGCACATTCGGTGCATTTAACTGAATGTATTTGTCTATTTTAGGAATTTGTTTACAGTAATTATTTAAAATAATTCATATTTTCTTTCACTCTCTCCTCAGACAACGTGTGCATCGACTCCATGAGCGTAAATATCACCAGGCGAACGCTGGACCGCTGTCAGACCAACGTGGACACTCTCCAGAACACCATACACAAGTAATGCTTGCATCATCACTTGCAACATGGAAATGCATCCATGTTTTCCTGAACGAATGAAAGATTGCACCAATAATTGGAACGTCTTTGCTCCTCTTACTGGCTGTAATTTTGCAGAACAGATTAAAGAGACAGAAAATAAGGAAATCTTACGAATGAGTATTAATCTAAGCTACTGTAATCTGCCTGTGTTTATAGGATAAAGGAGACGGATGCTGCTAAGCTGAGGGAGGAGTACAGACGCTTGGTGGAGGGGCTGAAGGAAGCCAATGTGGCGAGAGAAACCGACATCTACCTCGCAAATCCGGTGTTGCCTGATGAAATCCTTCAAGGTTTTTCCTTTAATTGTTCTCTCAGCTCAGAGTAAATTTTGAAGCGCTGGTTTAGAAGTAGAGTTTGGTAGTAAGCATTTCAAGTTGTCTCTATTAAGTCCTCCGTCCGCATCAAACTCCAAACATTGGAACTGTAATCTTTCTGGACGGTTTAGATGAAGAGCCGAATCTTATTGTAGACATGAGCACAAACTATCCTCCTCTCTTTCTGTCAGAGGCGGTGCCTGGCTCTATTCGTACAGCCGAGCACTTTGTAGGTTTCATGAGACGCTTCCTGGAGTATCTGAAGTCTCGTCTGAGGGTCCAACACGTCGTACAGGAGAGCGCGCCGCAGTTCCTTAAAGACATTTTCGAAAAAGTCTGCATCGACCGCAAGCCTCTAAGGTCAGTTTCAGCTTCTTTTCTGCGAATGCGAACAGCCTCGCTTAGTCTCTTGGTTGTTTCTGTTTCCCGTCTCTTTATCACCGATCCATCCTCCTTGTATCTCCAGGTTTTGTGCAGAGCGGTTGCAGTCGTTGCTTCGAACTCTGGAGATCGCCGACATCGCAGACTTCTCAGCTGTTACTCTCATCTCGAACTTCGCCACTCTCGTCAGCACCTACAGCCAAGGTAGTAAAAAGTCCCGCCTCTGTTCAACTCCAAGTAACACGGTGGCATTAATAAACGCAGATGCTGTTGGATTATGATCTGTAGTATCTCTCTGTGTCTAAAAAGGCTTCACCATCATCATCGAGCCCTTTGAAGACAGAACTCCGACCATCGCCAACCCCGTGCTGCATTTCAGGTGAGCTGCACAATGAATTCTGAACAAGTTCATGTGCTGCCGTCTGCAGAGGAGATTACCTGTGACTGTCATTTAGTTTCATTCTTTTACACAAAGCGTTTTAACACAAAAGGAGATGCCAGGTTGATATCTGTGTATCACAGGTCAGTGTGTTTGTCTGTTCCCCTCTCAGCTGCATGGACCCGTCTATAGCCATCAAACCAGTTTTCCAAAGATTCCAGTCAGTCGTCATCACCTCAGGGGTGCGTACTTCCTGCTCATTTCAGTCCGGTGACATTTAATTTACATTTTTTATTCATTAAAGGTACAAAAACAATCTGGTGACGTCCGCACAGTGAGTGAAGTAATCAAGTTTCCTTTTTATTCTTTGAAACAAAATTAGGTGAAGTTCTCGCTTCATTTTTTTCCCTGCAGACCTCCGATAATAACATCATAATACTGTAAAACTTCCATTCAACATGTTATGTCTTGAAATATAATCCTGCTGTTTATTCAACGACACGTGTGACTGCTGAGTTTTTCTTACATGTGCAGGAGTCTGAATTCCTTCTTACAGTGTCTTGTTCTTAGTTTTAAACGTCTAAGTGAAGCCGTTAGAAGCACCTCGTTTCTTCCTGAGTCAACAGACATCAGGTCATCGCCTCTTTGAAGCCTTTGAAATGAAAGATCTGATTCGAAGGATCTAAATGAAAGCCTGATCTAATTTCACCATCTTACCCCTGATGTTTCTCCTCTCTTCAGACACTTTCCCCCCTGGACATCTATCCCCGCATCCTTGACTTTCGCCCGGTTACCATGGCGTCCTTCACCATGACACTGGCGCGCACCTGCCTCTGCCCTCTGGTCTGTAACAACACTTAATATGAAAAAAACCCAACTGTGGTCCTGGGTGGAGTCACAAAAGCAGCACCACCTTGGAGACATGAACAAAAAGAGGAGAGAAACATAAACATTTCCATCACTTTGTTTCTGTCTTCCACAGATTGTTGGCAGAGGAAACGACCAGGTGGCCCTGAGCTCCAAGTTTGAGACCAGAGAAGATTTCGGTTAGTAAAAATAACTTGTGCTATTTGAGCGTGACCTCTCAAATCAAAGGCCGTACAACTACAAATGACAACGCTGTGTTTTCATCAACATGTAACGAGATAATTTTCATGTTTGCTTCTCCAGCTGTGATTCGGAATTATGGTAACCTGCTTCTGGAGATGTCTGCGATCGTTCCCGATGGGATTGTGGCGTTTTTCACCAGCTACGTCTACATGGAGAACATCGTGGCGTCCTGGTATGAACAGGTCAGTGTGTGTAATCCACAAGCATCTGAGTAACTGAAACAACCGCCGTTTTTCTTTCGTGAAGCTGTAGAAATCTGACATATCTTTCTGTAATCTGTGAAGTGGTTTTATTTTAAACATGTAAAAAAATAGAACAATGAAGGAAAAAAACACAAACAAAATAAAACATAAAGAGAAAAATAATCACAGTAGATAACTTTACATGTTCAAAAATGAGCAGGAAGAAGCATTCTCTTATTTAATCCCAGTCCGTTTAGTAGCTAATATATTAACAGTAAATTAATTTTGTGTGTTTTTGTTGTTTCTGGGGTCACGTTCGCTTGCAGGGTATCCTGGAGAATATCCAGAGAAACAAGCTGATCTTCATCGAGACTCAGGATGCTGCAGAGACGAGCATGGCCCTGGAGAAATACCAAGAGGTCAGACCCATTATTGTAGTAGTATTTAACTAACAAAGAGACCAAAATCATAAATTGAGCCGTGAACAAACAAACAGATGTTCAGGTCTTTTGTGTTGGTACCAGACTTTGACCTTTGACCTTTCTGTCTCTGCTGTTTAGGCGTGTGAGAACGGCCGAGGAGCAATCCTCCTGTCTGTGGCCAGAGGAAAAGTGTCTGAAGGGATCGATTTCGGTAAGTCATCGAGTTGCTCTGTGCGGCTCCAGCAGGACAAATTAAAGCAAACAGCAGAAGAAGAGTCCTGCGTGGCTGGAGACGATAAGGTGAAGCAAACGTGCGCTTTGTCGCTGACTCGGAGTCTCGTTGTGTTTTCTGTTCAGTGCACCATTATGGCCGTGCTGTCATCATGTTTGGAGTGCCGTATGTTTATACGCAGAGCCGCATCCTAAAGGTCAGAGTCACCTCTGTGTGGGGTCAAAGCTCAGAAAGTTAAATCTATTCATATTTTGTGTGATGTTTGCTATTTAAGGATTTATATTATCAAACGAGTAACAAAACCACACATTTTAGTTTGTGTTCTTTCCCTTTTCTCAGTCTGGATAGTTTTGTCGTGATTCCCTAAGGGTTTTTCTCTCTCTGTAACTCGACTCAGGCTCGGCTGGAGTACCTTCGGGATCAGTTTCAGATCAGGGAGAACGACTTTCTGACGTTTGACGCCATGCGCCACGCGGCTCAGTGCGTAGGCAGAGCCATCCGAGGCAAAACTGACTATGGACTCATGATTTTTGCTGACAAGGTGTGTCTGAATATTTGTCTGATCCTGCCGCAGTACTCCAGGCTTCTACACTCTGCTTCACAGCAGCAGTCCTTCGAGTTTGACGCTGGAGTAGCTGAGCGAAGCCTGTACTAACCTCCTCTGTGCTCTGCAGCGTTACGCACGAGCAGACAAACGTGGGAAGCTACCCCGCTGGATTCAGGAGCACATCAACGACGGCAGTCTGAACCTCACTGTGGACGAGGCCGTGCAGCTTTCCAAGCACTTCCTGCGGCAGATGGCTCAGCCTTTCAGACAGGTACAACCGGCCAAGCATCACAAGCACCACTGCAACGAGTAAACAAACACAGGACAACTCACTGGCTTTAAAAGGAGCAAAGCAGTGGGTTTAGTGATCTTCTCCCCGTGATTGGCTCAAACATCTGTCCTCTTGTCTAAGAGTCTGCTTCATTTCTGAAGCTAAATGAAACTTAATGTTATAATTTAATACCTTAAATGGGGAAAAGTTTTATAATCTAGCAAATTAATCTTAAAGTGTCTGACGAGTTGTTGGTGTGATTGTTTACTGGCACAACTCTGGCACCAGAACAATCAACCCACTGCCATCGAGATCATGAGCCACCTGACTTTGTTGATCAGATGAATAAATGCTGCTGTAAAGCAGTTTGAATTGCACGGAGCTGCACAGCTCTTATGAGCGCTGACGTTTCCGGACAACAGCTGACCAGGCAGCCATGCTTGCTTCTCTCTTTCTCTCCAGGAGGACCAGTTGGGTTTGTCTCTGCTGACTCTCGAGCAGCTGGAGTCGGAGGAAATGCTGCAGAAAATCACTCAGATTGCTCATCAGACCTGAAGGTGACACGAACCGTATGACATTGTCACCACAGCAGCACCATAAACCGAGTCATCAGCTGTCACCAGACTAGGGTTAAATATGGGTCGGCTCTAAAAGGGCAGGTCCACCTTAACTTTAGGAAGGAAAAACTCAGAATTATGTTTTAAGTGTCTGTTTTTCCCCAAGTGGTAAAAATACTGTAAAAGTATTTAAAGTATTTTCAGCTCTGCTGGTGACAGTAATGACTTCTGACAGGAGAGCCGCTCCCACACCAACGATGTGAGCCTCAGTCAAAGCCGCTCATGGGTCAGTCAGTATTTAAGGTTGCACTCGGTCTGCAGAGTAGACCATCTGCAGACCTTTGAACCACTTAAGTACATATTTCAGTACTCTGTTCAGCTTTTCACTGAAGTACGGAGCAGTAAACTTATTTTCCCCTTTATTAATCAAAGGAAGAAGCCTTTGCTTCTGCAGACGCACATGCTACAGAAAATCCAGCAACACACTGCAAAAACTCAAAATCTTACCAAGTATATTTGTCTTATTTCTAGTCAAAATTATCTCATTACACTTAAAATAAGACACAATCAGCTACAGGGCAACATTTCAGTAAGCTAAAGGAACTTGTTTCAAGACAGTGAATCTTGAAACTAGAGAAAAACTAGAGATTTTTCACTTGTTCCACTGGCAGATTTTTTCACTTATTTTAAGCTAAAATATCTTGTATTAAGTGAAAAAATCTGCCAGTGGAACAAGTGAAAAATCTCTAGTTTTTCTCTAGTTTCAAGATTCACTGTCTTGAAACAAGTTCCTTTAGCTTACTGAAATGTTGCCCTGTAGCTGATTGTGTCTTATTTTAAGTGTAATGAGATAATTTTGACTAGAAATAAGACAAATATACACTGACTAAGTTCTAAATGTGCGTGTTTCAGTCTTCAGCATTACCGTGATGCAGAAGTTTCAATTCATTTAGTTTTTTTTTTAAATTTCTTTTGATTGGTGAAATGTGTCAGTAGGTCAGCGTGTTGCATCAGAGATGTGACACTAACACTGGTGTCTGTGCAGCGTCTGTCATACAGACAAGAATACTGTCAGGTTCCTTTTCTACTGCAGCTGTACATAAATGCTGTTTTATACTGTTTTCCAACCAGGAAGCTGGAATATAAATGTTTGTATTTAACAGCTGACTTGTGTTTTTCTTCTGTGGGAAGTGTTTGAATCGAAAGTGTTCATCCATCACTCGCTGATCTTAATATTTAGACAAAAAAGGGCTTTAATTTATGAAACCCTGAAAACATTTTCAGACAAACAGAGGAAAGAAAACACACATATACAAGGGTTATCGGTGTCTTAGTTTAATTTATTACAGCTCAAATTTGCAAATATAAAACAAATATTCATCTTTTCCACATTCTTACATGTGCTTCACTCAGCTTGTAACAGACTGTCGTTTAACAGCAGCTAACACGGTGCGACTTCAGCCCTTTAAACAGACTGCAGTGGCTGTCTTCTACCACTGTAAATGCAAAACAAGATTCCTACGAGGAGTCTCATGGAATGAAAATCTTCATGGATCAGGTGGTAATGCTGCTTTCAGGGACCCAGTCTATTACCAGAATTCTCAGGTGTTAGGGTTTGTGTAAAACTTGTTATTCAACGCTCTTTGTAACAAATCTTCAGTTCAACTAGTTTAAAAAAATATCTCTAATAAATATCAGAAAGTAGAATGACATTCCACATTATTTGAATCTTTTTGTAGTAGTAGATTTCAGGCATTTCAGTGAAAAGCATAGATGTAACATTAGAAGAATACATCAATATCTAAACGTAGGCTACCTCAGTAGTTGATAATGCTACTTCTACCAGCGTAGAGTGAAAGCCTCGAATGCACCATCATATTTATGTATCACTCGGCTGCTGAGCGATCCACCCGTCCTCTCTCATTGCTTGTTGGTTGTCTCATGATTTGATTACTTTCCTGGTTAGACATCAGTGATGTTTGCCAGAAACATTTTCAACTTGGCTACAAAGCTGTACCGCCGCTGCTATTTTTACTACTTGTTCTTGTGCTTTGCCTTGGAAACATTGTATAAATCTACACGGCGGCTTTCGGTAAAGACTTTCATCTCTACCTCAAAACCAGTTTAATATTATCAGGCCAAAGCTGACATTTGGGCACACAGCAAAAAACCTAAGGAGACTTTTACACATCTGAAATTCAAAATGCAACAAACGGATAATCAATAAATACTGAACATAGGCTACGTTCACACTGCAGGTCTTAATGCTCAATTCCGATTTTTTGATCAAATCTGATTTTTTTTGTCTGCTTGTTCACACTACAAATAAAATGTAACAGCAAACGCGCTCTAGTGTGAACGCTCAAAGCGACCCGCATGCACAAAAGAAGACGTCACACACAACACGCTCTGTTTAGACCCAGAGCAAACAATATTGTTTGACTGATGGCCCTTAATATAAAGACTTCGGACTTGACGTTTCCCAATTTTTGCTTTAAGTTATTTACATAATAATGTAGATGTATCGGATTCAGTACCACATACGAAAGTGACCCAGATCGGATTTGAAAATATCGGATTTGTGCCGTTCACACTGTCACACCATGATCGGATATGGGTCGCAGAGGGTCAAAAAAATCAGATTTGATGCGCTTTCGCCTGCAGTGTGAACGTAGCCTTAGAGAATGATTTACATCCATAAGCAGTTAGAAGATATTACCTATGTACATATGTGCAAAAGTACTGACTGTAAAAAGTACTAAGTTAAAAAGTCAAATATTTGCTTTTGTAAAGACAATTTGTTTTCACAAGGTGCAAACCAACAGCTGGAATCCTGAAACTGCTCCTACTTGTTTTTTTTTTTTGTTTTTTTTAAAGTTGTTCCTTATTTTCATCATGTCCGAGCAGGACTTCTGGGCCAATAACGCAGCAGTCTAACAATATAAATTATACATGACCAGCACATTTTAAAGGCAAAATACACGTACCTTTTTTTTTTTTTTTTTTACTTTAAACAGTGTAAACTTTGATAGCTTATCATCTTCCTCGAACGTAAAATTACACTTTACATTTTAAAAATTGTGTAAAGAACTTTACATCCCTGCACTGCTTCTCAAATTACAAACAACTCCATTTAAAAAATATGATCTTTAGTATCAAAGCATCAAGTGAAGTGTCTTAAAATTTCCCATAGTTCAAATGTTAACCTACAGATTGCCGCTTTCCTTAGTGTAACGTGGTCACGTTTGTGTAAAAACACAGTCTGCAGGGGAAATGCATTTAAACTAGATTAAAGTGATTTTAGCACAACTTAAAATTAACCTGCTAAGATGCGAACTCTTTCATGGCATGCATTTTTAATTTCTGTTTGCTATTTGAGCTGATTGGGGAAAAATTTTGTATTGTGGTCTAGACAACCCAAAATGTGATGTCCACATATGTGGACGCCAGGTCCTACGAGTTCAAGATCAAAAGTTAACTGGAAATCATAGAACTGAACCTAAAACCAGGAATGACGGGATTTAAAACTTCAAGTGATCCGGAAGAAAATGTCATAGTGCAATTCCGATAACGTCAAGTTAAAATTCATCACATGACCCAGCCCTCTATTTATGCTTTGTTGTTTTGTTTTTTTTAAAAAGAAAAAACTGAAATTGTGCGTTTTTTAGAATGAAACAAACTAATTTTAAAAGTCAGATTTTTGGAAGCATCTTAGTCGAGTCAATTATCTTTTTTTCCTTGAAGACTAAAAATGATGAATCCACTCAGGCCTGATGTTCCCACACTGATTAAACACACTGCTCTGTGCCGATCGTCATCTTTGAAAGGTGTTGCGTTTTTAGGGGATATTCTTATTTTTGCGTTAGCTGTTCCCACCGAGTGAGCCTCTTCTCATCAGACTCTGAGTGCTGGAGCTCAGGCCTCGAGTATCCGTCAGCTGGCTCGACTGATCAACAAAAAAAAACACAAAATGTGTCTTAAGAGGTGACGTTTATCTTAAATGTGCATGAGATGCTTGCAGATTTCTGGTTTTCAGACTGTATGGTTAACAGTCTGCTCACCTCGCTGCCATCCTGACTTTCTCTGACGCCAACGTTCAAAACATTCAGAGAGTTTGCCCTCTTCATCCTGAAAACGGGGCAGAACAAACTGTTCATCAGGTGGCTTTTCAGCATTCAGCTGGAGCTAAAACACCTTGTTTACAGAGTATTACCCAGCATTCCTTGGGGTTGTTTCCTCCATTCCGACTCCTTTCAGCTTTCGGACCAGTTTCTCGCTGCTTCGCCTGATCGACTCTCTGAGTTTGGTGAAGGAGCCACTGCGCTTAAGTCCGTCCTGTGTGGACCCGCCGTCCTCCACCACGCCGGACCAGCTGGGACGCCCGTCACCTGGACAACAGACATAAAACAAGCAATTGTTTACATTGAAATTTGAAGTTTCTTTCTTTTTTTGGACACAGTTGGACATTAATACGATAAGAACAATATAAAACTGTACAGTATACAAAAAAAATCTAAATAAAACTGTTTTTGCAGAAAGACTGAGACAGACCTACATTTAAAAAATATGAAAACTGCTGAAATAAAACTACAAAAATGACAGATTTCCACAGAGTCTGACTGAGACTTATATGATGAAATAGTATATGAGGCAAAGAAGCTATTATGTGTCATGTATCTGCTGTCAGAGAAGCCCCTAAGGACAAACTCCGGGGCTTATAGGGTAAATATAGGGTATATCTGAATGCGAATCATGCAAACATTAAAAAAGGTACATTAGCCAAATTCAACATGAATACACAAAGACAACACAGAAAGCTAAAACTGAGCAGAATGAATCACAGCTCATGTTAAAATGATAAAAATGAATGTGTTATGCCAGCGTTAGGTAGTTTTCTCAGTACTCAGTGGTGGAACTGATCCCTTGTGGTTATCTCACGCTCTTAAAATGTCATCGTGTCACGAGAACAATTACATAAACATGAGCAGTTACATGAAGTAATCTGTTTGTACCTTCAACAGACCCAAACTCCTTTTCATGCGCTCTAGTCAGGATCTCTTTGTAAAGAGCTTCAGCTTGTCTGTATTTCCCCTGCTTAAGATAACATGATGCCTGAGGGAGAGGGAGAGGGAGAGGGGGGGGGGTTTAAATGATGATTGAAAAAAATAATAATATCGTAAATAACAACAGCCTCAGTAATCCAGACACCGAGGTTTCCTCTCACCAGGTTGTTCTTGGTTTTAGCCACGTTGGCGTCGTCTGGTCCCAGCTTGCTCTGGTAGATGTGCAGAGCGCGCTCGTAGTACTGCTCCACTTCCTGGTACTTCCCCTGGTTCTGACACAGCAGAGCCAGGTTGTTCAGCTGTTTGGCCACATCTGGATGATCTGTACCGAGAACCTGAGGAGGCGACAAAAAAAAAGGTGCACGGTGAGGGACGATCAACCAGTTACTCTTTCCATAACACTTCCAGTATGTGATACAGGGGATGCCTGCTCACTCAGCTCTGTGACATCGAAAGATAGAGGACATATTTAGATGTTTAAGTAAATTAGCAAGGGCAGCACGGTGGCACAGTGGTTAGCACTGTTGCCTCCGGAGTTCAATCC